ATATATGTGTGTGTGTGTGTGTGTGTGTGTGTTTTCTTAAGTTTTCGCGGGTACTTACATGTATGGCATTCAGCTTTGTTCGGGTATTTTCCGACGTCATTGTAGTTGTGCTTTTAAAGTTGTAGCAACGTGTTCTGCCGAAACATTGCTACAATTTTAAAAGCACAACTACAATGACGTTCTATTCCAGTTCAGCTTTGTCATTAATGTTAGTTATAATCTTTGACATCTTTAACATTTCTTTTCAATAGGGTATCATACTTCTAGGAACATCTATAATATTTCCATAATTTTTTCATGTTTCTTTCATATTCCTCTTCACTTAAATTTTTATAATACATTTATATTTATATTTAATTTCATTCTCTCATTCTCTTTATTTCATATATTTATTAAACATTACATTACAATGAATATTTTATCTATCATTTTAATCACACTTGTTTCATATTTTCAAAGTTCATTTCTATTTCTAATATAACAATACTATCTTATGTACCCTTGCAGAATCCCCCTTTCAATTAAGTTTTCACCCATTATCTCTATGTCTTCTAAATAGGCTTATACCCTTACTCCTTGTACATATTCCCTGTTTCTCTATGTCCTGTTTTATCCTTTATAATTTATTTTCCTTTCTCTCTTCCTCCTCTTCTTCTTCCTTTCCTTTTTGACCCCTTCTCTCTCTAATTCTGATTCTCTTCTGTAATCCTCTCTTCTGTTTCTTCCTAATGTTGTAATTACCTTTCAAACTTCTTTTTGGGGAGTTGTTTTTTCAGATCTTAAATTTTCCACTCTCTTTCCCCCCTTTCCTTTCTTTTCCCCACATAGATATACTTGGTAACTGAAGATGGCTTCTTCTTTATCCCGCCTCTTGTTCTACAGGAATTTCTTGTTGTTTCTCATAGTTCAGGATCTCCATTTCTAAAAATTGAAATACGAAGCCAAAATAACCTCTTCCTTCTTGTGCATCTTGTTTCTGTTTTTTAAGTTCTATTCTCAGTTCTTCCAAGAGTGATACCATTTTAAAAACTTTTAAACAACCACCCGATTAATTTTAGTCCTTTAATCCAATAGCCAAAAATCCAAAAATCACCAAGTAATCCAAATAATCCAAAGCTGTTTCTTCTTGCTTCTTTTTTCCACTTTTTCTTCCTGGGGTTCTCTTATCTTGTTGCAAAGTTTCAGTTAAAATGTATCTTTTAGGAATCTTGTTAAAGTTTCACTGTTAATTCCTTTTATGGAATTAAATGGTCTCCTCCATTTTTCCAGATCCCACCCTTTTGTTTTTTCCTTCTTTTAAAAGTTTTTGAGAATCCAGAAATCTTTATTATCCCTTTGACATTTTATTTTCAGCTTAAATATCTGTTAATGTCAAAGTGGATTTTTGCCTGTTTCTTGCTTAAATCTCTTAGTTGTCAATATAGGGAAGAAAAAAAACCCCAAATCCTTTCCCTTCCCTCTCTCATTCACCACTTCAAAGTCTTCTTTGGGAACAATGTTGTCTGTTATAATTCAAATTCCAGAGTACCTTGTATTGTTGCTTTTTCAGTTCGACCTGGTCAGCCAAAACTTTCTCTTCTTATCTTCCTCCTGCACATTCTTTTCCGGTTGAGTTCTTCTTTGAGGTGGCCTTTTCTGACCACTGCTGCAACCCCCTTCGGGAAAGGGAGAATGGCCAGCTGTGGAGGGGAGATGTGACTCTCTTCGACCCTGCTGGCAGTCTCCCCTCTCTTTACCACCTCTACGGAGTGGCTTACCAGCTGGCTCGGGGGGCTCCAGCAGCGAGCACAGATCGAAACTGCACACGATCGCAGATTTCGGTCTGTTGCCAAAGCTCAAACCGGAAGCCCGGTCATTTGCATTTTTTTTGTGGATCTTTAAGGTCACCTGGAGGTTCATCTGTGTCATCAGGATCACCTGAGTGGTGCAAATTAGTGTGGAGACCATCCAGTCAGAGCTGAAGAAGCTTCTTGGATGAGAAGTGAAACATCTTCAGAGAAAAACCAGAAAGTCCAGTTGCCTCTTGAAAAAAAAACATACCTGGGACTTCAGCAAGGTAGTTTTTCATTCAACTGCTCTAAGACAAATTTAGTCTAATGAATAAGTGAGTGGACTCTTTTTTCTTTTTTTTTTTAACCAGGTGCCTTATTTTAAATATTCCTAATTTTATCTACTGAAGGCTGGGATGCATTGAGTGGGATAGGAATGAGCTGTACCTGGATGGAAACTTGGAGATTGGGGGGGGGGGATTCCTTGCCCTTTATTCATTTAATTGCAAGAGCTGTTGCCCTGACCTTGTTTTGTAACATGGTTGCTTGTAGTCTTGTTGGGCCTGTGACAACATCTCTCTGTAAAATTCTTTGAAGCTTCCTATAAAAAGAATGTCTGGCTCCAGCAGAACCGGATCATTTCTTTGCTTCTGACTTTCTCTGTTTTTGTCTATTTACTTTCATCTCTGATTAGAGAATTTATATTGCCCATCTCAACTTCGGCGACAACTCAGCTAACTGTTTGTCTTCATGGAGGACTCATGAATCATAATATAGTGACTTCCCTGCCACAGTTCTGTTGTTCTACCACTTATGCTATTTCTAAAGAATATCAGTTTAGCATGCTTTCATACCTCAAATTATATGCAGTGGAGGGACATGTATTAGGTTTATTACTGTCATGTTGTTGTCTTTAAAGCAAGGAAGAATCCTGTCACCTGTTTTGCCATGTTTTATGTTTACCTTTTCTCTTACGATGACTCCTTTGAAAAAAAAGTGGAAGATAATTTGAAAACTGCATAAAATGCTGGACATGTTCTGTATTAATCTGAGTAACCAATACATTTAATAAACATTTGCAAACTACTATGGTTATCAAGTCAACTTCTCCTGTCCTTCCTAGTTTGCTTTGTCTTACTTTGAACTTCTTCAATCCATCATCTTGACTTTCTAATTGGCATCCAATTTCTGGATTTCCCTGATTTTTGGACCAAATAGAAGAATACAAAAATTACACATTATCAAACACTAAACTTCAATGTTTTGTTAGAGTGGCAATGTTCTGTTTTGTTTTAGTTGACAGTTCTGGACCTGGTATTTTTCTTGCTTTCTATCAATCACATAAAGAAATTATTATATAAAAACAGATTACCTCAGTTTCTCAAACTCCCTTTCTGAAAACCTTTATTCTGGAATGGACATCACATACATCACGTGCATGTACTGCTATTATCTTGTTGTTCCCAAGAAACAGCTCATTGATTCATCTCCATTTAAAGAAACATTAATCTTTTTTTCAGGATGAAAAGTATACTGATTTCCATATAGTTTCGGCTCCCTTCAAAATGCAATAGTTAGAAAGAATTGCAAGATAGAA